CCTTCCCATGCTAGGCAGACACAAAATTATTGATGCCAGAACCTGCCGCCGCCTTGCCAGACAGTCTAAGAAGACACGCCGCCAGCCTTCATCAGAATTGCACAATGAGGTTGCCCCTCAAGCCTCTGTGATGACAATCAAGAGAGCTTTAGCCTCTGTCAACATAAAGAAGTGGAGGGCAAGAAAGAGAGCATTGTTAAAGGATGAACATGCTATCAAGAGGTTAGACTGGGCGAAGCAGTATAAGGATTAGACAAAAGAGGATTTTGAAGGTGTCATCTTTAGTGATGAATGCATGGTTGAAAAGTCCAAAGATCCTAGGGGTATTTGGATATTCAGAACACCTGAGGAAAAGTGGCATAAGGATTGCATCCAAGGGGTTACAAAGGGACCAGGAGTAAAGCTCATGGTTTGGGCTTGCATTTGGGGTAAAAATAAGGGTCCACTGATTCCTATTTTTAACAAGAGTGTGGATAGATTTGTATATATTGGGGTTTTGGAGGATAGCTTAGTTGATATCTGGCAGGAGGTAGAGGACACAGTTGGAGATCCTATCTTTCAGCAGGATGGTGCAAAGATACATACTGCAAGAGATACTATGGCTTGGTTTGCAGAAAACCATATACAGGTTATGGAATGGCCTCCTAATTCCCCAGACCTCAATCCTATTGAGCACTGTTGGAAAAGGGTAAAGGAAAAGCTGCATCAGCACTTTCCTAACATTCACAAGACTAAGGGGGGTCCCAATACTGTTAGAAAATGTCTAGCAGAAGCTCTGAATCAGGTCTGGGCTCAGCATATTGAAGAGGAATTTCTGGAATGCTTGTGGGAGTCTATGCCTAGTAGGGTGGCTGCTGTTTTGGATGCAAAGGGGTGGTATACAAAGTATTGACTTTTTTGCTCTTTAATTTCATATGAAGGCTTTCTTACATGTACTGGACATATACCTAAATTTTCAGTTTATTCTAAGTAGTTGTGGTTGTATGGGTAGTAAATTTGTTGTGGTGGTGGGGTTGTCGTTGCCGTGCCGGACGAAAAGATTTGTTACCGTACTTTACCAACCATTTATGATAGCACCCCATTTACCCAAGCGGGTTGCAGGACCTGTTCTCCGCTAATAGGGCATAGTCTACACACATACAGTATTCGTACATACCAGTTAGTCCACCGGCACCGTAATAACTTCAGTCTACAAATACCGGGGGAAAAACAGAAAAGGTGTGGATTTGTCCCTAAAGCGGGTGGGGCTCCTAGTATCCCGCGATAGTACTGTACTAGTACAGTACAGTGCACTTTCAACCTAAACATAATTTACATCTCAACAAGCTGCTGTTTTTGAACCCATCTCGTGAGTATGTATGCATGCGCAAACGGATACAAGGGGACCGGAAATTCCACGTACAATCCAGAGACTACCGTAAAGAATTTTTTGGTGTTGTAGGTTGTTGCCGCACTCCACCGGTATCTACGAGTGCGGCCGATAGATATATTCGTCACGGGAGTCTGATGAGAAAGTTTTGGTGCACCTTTTGGCTGCGATTTGTCCTTAGATAAGACACGTGACGAATATATCTATCGGCCGCACTCGTAGACTATCTATCGGGTTGGTGGCTTTTGGGGGCGATCCACACTTTCTGTTTGGGGTGGTGATTTGAATTTAAATTTGGTTGGACTATGCCTCTGCGCTTGTTACGCACTACGGTACTCGTGGTCTATTGTACCGAGAAACGATGGTTCGATGATACCCCTTCGACGGAGAAGGACTCGTGCCGCGAATAGGGTAGGGTGGTAAATGTTTTTCTGGGATGCGCGGGTACTGTACGATTATTTTCCGTGTTTTATTTTATTTGTGCTGTGGTGGTGGTGTTATACTGGTGGGTTATATAAAGGCCGGCAAATTGAGGGTGCTGTACTAGTACTGTACAGTTGTGACTACTGCAATGTAATACTGCCCGCTAGGAATCACGACATCTCGGTAATAAATTGTAATTGATCTATAACTCGAATAGTATTTGTTTTCACTTAACTTATGAGCATGCTTGTGAGTGAAAGAAGCCGTTGGTGGTGTTGAAGTTGTATGATAAGTTGGAATGAATGAATGAATGTGTGAATTGGGGGTGGCTTGCCCATCTGGTCTCACTTGTGATTCCGAGGCATGAAAGTATGATATGATGGAAACAATGCCCGTTCATCGCTCCACTCGTAAAACAACCCCGTGTTTTTTTCTGCTAAACTCGGTTTATTTATTAATTTATGCTACGACTCGGATACTTCTGACGGAGGGCACGTATTATGCATAGCGGCTAAGGCCGAGCATTGTGGTGAGAATTAAGGCCCACTCCCGTGCTAGCTCTGCGTGTTGGGCCATAACTAGCGAAGCGCGCCAACAGAAGCTGCAAAGATTGAAGAGATGTCGCTTTTATGGTGCGCGGTGCAGAGACTAGGGTGGATAAGAGCGATTGGAGGCTTTGGGAAGTGGCTCCGTCCTGTCCTGTACAAAATTACTAGGGGAATTTTTTTAATATTTTTTTTTTCATCCCCCATATTCTTAAGATCTAGTGTCAGGATTTTCCCAAGGACTGCGGGTTAACTGAGACGCTATATCGGCTCATTCGGCCGGCACAGCTGTCCCCTATTGAGTGAATCTGGTTTTTGTGCGGAGGTGTTGCATCATCCGTTGTACTTGTACGATACGTCCCTAGTCTAGAGCCTTGTACGAGTAGAGCGACGATTGCCCAGCAGTGGTGACGATAGCCTCTCGTTGCACGGATATTAATCTGAATCGTCTACCCCTCTCGCGAAGACCGCATGTATGGACGGACAGTGCTGCATGTTGGGTGCGTTACTTATCCTCTCTGACACCCCGGCCATCGCAGTCTACCGCCATGATGCTATTTCCCCACACATACCCCGATTAACTCGATGACTTTGACGATATCATACCTCCGAACTACTGTAAGTTGATATTTGGAACTCGGATATGGGTTTCCTTCTTTCTTATAATGCGCCAAATAGCAATGGAAGCACGACTGAGTTCATCCAATCAGCACATCAAATCAAGTAAGATACCTCTGTTGTTTTGCCTTGATTGGAAGGGAGGGGAGCAAGTGAGGGGGGGGGGAAAGAGCGGACGAGAGCACAATCGATTGGTATCGCTGGGATACTGATGCACTTGGGTTGAAGGTGCAAGACTGGATATAAAAGCAGTAAATGGACTATGATAGCAGATAGTTTCAACCTCCCATGAGGTCTTGAAGAGTCTCTGATAGTTATTCTTATACCACATCTCGATGTGTGATAGGACACGGGGAGTGAGCTTGTTTTTTTTTTTTTTGCGGGGCGATTTTGACAGGATGCGGCCGTGATATCGGAGGGAACGAGTGAGCGGGCGGTCTAACGGGTGAACAACGGTTAAATAATTAACCGGTTAATTGGTTGCGCGACCGTTTGAATATTTTTCGTGAACTCGGGCGGGGGGGGGCGGATGATGGTTTAGAGATGTTTGGGTTAAAGTTCGGCATTGGCGGTCTAGAACATGCCTACCGGCAGTGTTGATATTTCCGGACATCGTCGCGGAAAAGCCCATATACTGTACCGTGTTTATAGCGATTCCACGAGTATCGGGGAACCTTAGAGTTTCCCAGGCGTAAACTGTGCCAAGATTTCGGGGTACTGTACTGGTGGAATCGCCCAAGTGGTACAGCACTTATCGTCTGCACTTTACTCCTGCTGGGGTTGTAGGTCCGCTGAAAGGGTGTGGGGAGCAATAGCCGGCTTGATGCTTTCCCCCTCGAGGGAGGGGAGTACTCGTACGGCAGGGGCGGATTAGAATCACCCACCCGAAAAGGCCGGACTGGCTTATTGGTTGGTTGGTTATGTGGTGTATTAGCCGTTGCATCGGTCGGGGGTACACTCGTTTGGGCTTCCCGATTGGTAATTGGTATGGTATGATATCATCTGATTTCTTTCTACATTGCGGCTTGGAAAGGGTGGTCGTGGTCGTCATGGGGGCTCACTCGAGTGGAATTGGTGCAGATGAGGGATTCTCGGCTGTTAGTTGGTTAGTTGGTCGGCTTATCTTATGGTATTTTCCCCGGGAGTTGGGTTGAGGGGAGTAGGGTGTGCTGATCCCTGGGGGAATTGGGGGGGGGGGGGGGGTTAGAAGGGGTTTCTTTCCACGGGATTGGCTTGTGTTCGACCTTCTGTTGGTACTGTGGAAGATCTTGGGTTGGGATGGTTGGATGTTGTTATAAAATTCTAGTATTACGTAAGGGTGTTGGGTGTGCTGGGGTATTGGGGAGTGTGTACCGGCTTGCCGAATACCGTACTCCCCTCACTGGTTTTGGACATAGTACTTTCTCAGAGGAATGTCCCGAATGTCACGAGTTATATAGTGAAGGGGATGAATGGGCTAGCGGGGGGCGTGCAATCCCTGCGAAATGCCTTGGGCTTACCTGGATTCGCCTGCATTGTTTTCCAACGCACTATCCGTGCCACCCTGGTTGGTTGTGCCTTGGAGGGTACGAGTGAGGTCTAGTGACCTCAGACTGGCCTTGTTGGCTCCCACCTGTTACCGGTGGGTTCGAGGATATATGATAGGTCTTTCCCGGTCCGTAAACCAACAACCCCGATAAATCCAACGGACACTGAGAATGCCCTCTTCACTAAACCTACCAAACGAGCTGATCCTGAAAATTGCTGAATCTCTCCCTCCATCAGCCATTTGCTCCCTCTTTCTCGCCAACCGTCATCTTGCTACCCTTCTGGAGTTCGCGCTTCTCGATAGCGTATGTTATAGCCGCAACAAAGTATGGGGCAGCAAGGTATTCTTCTCCGCTGCTAGCCGTGGCGACAAAGTGCAGGTGCGGAGAATGATTCAACGCGGTATTCTGGAGTTCATTGCGGACAATGGGGTTCTGAGTGAAGCGGTGCTCTGCCATTCCGAACGAGCGATCCGCACCTTGCTAGAATGTGGGGTCGATACGGAAGTGGAGTATTGGATGGTGAAGCGCACGGCGTTGTTTATCGCTATCGAGAATGGGCGCTTGGACGCGGTGCGGCTCTTGTTGGATCGGCGGTGGAGGGTTAATGTTAATGCTAAGGATAGCATTGGAGAGACCCCACTTTTTCTGGCAGTTAGGGAAGGAAAGGCCGAGATAGTGCAATTACTTCTAAGCGACGAAAGGGTGGACCTCGGCCCGAGATTAGATAGCATGGGATGGACTTTGCTACATGCTGCTTCCGGCGCTGGGCATGAAGGGGTAATTCGGACACTCCTGGCGGATGGGAGGTTCGACGTGAATTACCTGCGCGAGTATTCTGGCACACCATTGCACACTGCGGTCCGCCATAGACACATAGACGTTGTGCGCGCCCTTCTAGAGGATCCCCGCACTGATGTCAATGTTTCGAGTTGGTGCGGTGTTGGATTCCAGCTGCGACACCCTCTGGGTCCGTGTGGGAAAACCGCACTGCATCTTGCCGTGTGTTCCGAATCCTCAACACTCCTAAAACTCATCCTATCCCACGAACGGATACAGCCCGACCTGCAAGACAAAGAAGGCCGCACACCGCTCAGCCTAGCAATCTTCTCGGGCCAAAAGCAATCGATCCCCATACTTTTGTCCGACTCCAGAATAGATGTCAATTTGGCCGACATCCACGGGTCGACACCCCTCCATCACGCTGTCTCGAAAAACTCTCTAGAGATGGTGAGATTGCTGCTAAGCGATTCCAGGCTTTGCACAAACATTGCAAACCTCAACCTAGAGACGCCTCTGCACGTCGCGGCAAAGAATGGATACGAGGAAATCGTGAAAATCTTGATGAACGACTCCAGGGCCAAACTTGATTGCCGGGAATCTAACGGAAGGGCACCATTGATGAGCGCCGCGATCGGTGGGAGCGCTTCTGTCGTGAAACTTTTCCTGGAGGACGGCAGGGCGGACGTCAACGCTCGATGTTCCAGGGGCCTGACAGCGGTGTACGTCGCGGCAGCGATGGGTCATACCGAGGTGACAGAGTTACTCATAGACGACGATAGGGTTAAAGTTGAGGGAGCTGGCGAGAAAGAATGTTTGATGGCATTTTTGGAAGATATGGGTTTCACAGGGCGTACAATTGAGGATGTGCACAACAGGATTAAAAGTTTGGCTTTTCCGGGATGGTTATGAGCGTTTTTTTTTTGTACTTGAGTTTCTCTGTCTATAGGAGGTATGATATTTTGGGATTGGCATTCAACTGTTGACCTGCGGGGACTTTATTTCTTTCTAATGTAGTTATTTTTTGCGCGTTCATGGTTATGCTGCAACCCAAGCTACTTACCACGGTTGAAATTCTGATGTGAGTATTGTATAAACGTTCAGCTGTAGGAATAAAGGAAAAATGAAATGTATCTAGTCGCGGAATGGAACTGGGTTGGTGCTCTCGGAGGAGCAAGAGCTTCGGTCTACACCGAGTGAGACTCTATGAATCCGACTACCAAACTCGTGTATAGAAATAAATATCTATGTATCTATCGTTGGATTAAACGTGACCGGCATTCGAAGGGGTGATGGTATCATATGTGTCAGTGGCCCTTCGCTCCTTGGAACTCCCACCGATCATATGCAGCGCCAGCCCGTCACCTGCAGGAATCCGGCACGTTCCGGAATATGAGACAGCGACAGGGCCCGCCCATCGATCCCAGACGGACAGACCGGAGATCTGGATCCATTACGATACTATTTTGAAGGGTGGTTGGCATATATATTTCCGGGGGAGGAATATACACGCCAAAAAATCAAACATTGATAACTCTCCCTTCACCAATTACTACATCACGGCGCGGTACTAGTCTGTCTCTGGTACAACCCACGCCTACCCCAAAGCTGCCCAAATTCAATCTTAGAAACCCCACAACCAGGGTGTCATCAGCGTTACCAAGAATGGGGGGGAATCACACAATCTCATTCCAACCACCCAAGTGTTTGTGTGACTGCGGCCCCTTGGAAATAGCACTCTACTACGGTAGCGCAGCTAACCGTCCCACCCTAGTGGTAGCTGTCACAGGAAATAGGTTCTCCAGCCCGCCATCCATGCCTGTACCGCAAAAAGACGGCAGAAGGAAAAAGAAATTCTAACCTATTGTGAATCTAGCCCAGCAGCTGGTTGGGCGATGCAGCAGGCTGCACTGTACTTGCACAACCTACTCTCGTGCAAACATTTCACGTGCGCTTGGTACGGTTACTCTACCTTGCAAAAGAATATAAGCTAGTATTAACACAGACTTGTCCTCTTCCCGGTTGATATGATAATATCTTAAATCCCAATAGTGGAAGCCTAGAATAAGAACAATAATAATATCACAGAATCGACTGCTGTTTCCATAACTCTTTGAGGAAATGATCTCGGGTCTAGTTGGGATATGTCTGTCGTTGGTATAATGGCACCGGCAGGGCCTTCGTAAAGGGATTGAGTAGATGTCCTGTGCGCGGGGGTCGGAACATCTGGAGAAATGGTAATACAATGCGCGGCTGCCTGTCCCAGTCCCCGGGGTTGGGGTGTTGGTATTGTGGTACGGGGGACCTGCAGCACTGTGCAGCAGGATACCGGTGTCACTTGCTCGCCACAGACATCCTTGATTCTTGGCCCGCAGTAGGAAATCTTTGCAGCACGGATTTAGGTGCGTATAGTCAGAGTGCCCGTTGTGGCAGGGTCGGTATAGAAGCAGTTTGTAAAATATCACGGACCCCAGTCGCTCCGCACAGTAACTGTGACATCTTCCATGGGAAGTCACTCACTGGGCTGCAATCCTTCCTTTTGTTTTATTCGCATGTAGTTTCTGGGTTAATAATACACTTTAATGTGCTTCGGGAAGAAAACCAGTAAACACAAGGATCAGAAAATAGTAAGCTAGTGCGGGTTTATTTTTTCGAGCACCACCGATCCACCGATCTCTGGGATATTTGGGCGGGATGCTCCCGTTTGCCTGGGAGCACCTGCGATTGCAATACCAGCACCCTTCCGAGGAGCATCAGAAGCAGGCCCGTACATCGCCATTGCTTGGTCCATTTTCCGCTGCCGCCAACAGTACAATCCCCCCATCACTATAACAAGAAGGGATATCCCCCCCACCGTGAGGCCGATTATTATAGGAGCCCGACTAGTTCTCTTTACTTCCTCGCCTTTTGCTCGAAACCACGACGAGACAATCAAAACTAGATCCTGCACGCCATTTTCCGGTCTCCATGATGTGGGGCCTATGAAGAACTCGCTCTTGTCGTAGTCGACGATGAGATACATTGACCTCAGGAAAGCTCTTCCGGCAACGAACCTCTTTGAAGCGACTGCCACGGGCATGTAGTGTCGGAGGTTAGATGTTGAGGTTGTACTGTTATTCACGTAATTGATTGGATGAAGCTGGTAAAACTCGCTCGCGGGGATGGTGATGGTCATTTCCTTGACTGTCTTCATGGTCTTTGATTCGTCCTGAAAGGCAAGGTCGGAGGGCACTTTGATTTTCATGGTGACATTACCGACCAAATTGCTGCTCAGGTTGTCGTAGGAGTAATAGCCATCGGCGTCGAGTTGGGCCCCAATGTCTTGGGCGAGCCTCGTGACCATCGAGAGAGGAAGCTCCCAATCTGGAGCTGAGGAATCGACATCCAGGACGACCGGTCCAGTCGATTGTGGCCATTGGCCTACCCCAAAATCGTTGAAGAGGATCACTTCTGATATCTCGATTCTTGGGAAGCTGTTCGGCGATAATCTCCCACCGACAACATCTCCTGCAAGTAACTTCTTGTCATATCCGCCGAGAACGAGGGAGCCGGGGTAACTGGTATCTGATGTCGAATAGGTGTTGTTCGAGAGTCCATAGTCCTTTATTTCTGCCCCAAGGTATAACCCGTAAGCATTTGACGTTATGAGTCTATCGGAAGAGAGAGATTGTAATAGCGGTGAGCCCTTTCCAAGTCCCAGGATACCGAAAGTAAGGTTCGACTCCGCCGGCGTGGTGTAGTAAAGCTGCACATTCTGGAGTTCTACCGAGGGATCAAGGCTACCCGGTTTTCTTAGCTGAAGAGTGCCATTCGCAGAGTTCCCTCGGGCATAGAGCCTATGAGACTCTTCCTTCCATTCAAACACCTTCCCCGTTGGCAAACGCATGTCCATGCCGCTGATGCTCGAACTGTTGCTGTCGGGATGGCATGCTGCAGCGAAATTTCCGGAGCCCTCTCGGCAGGTGTCATTGTTCGTTATGATAATGATTGTTTCGGAGGCAGCATTCGCAACAATCAGGTCTGTTTTGTGTGTGCCATTTGCAATGATTACTGGAGTGACGAACTCTTCATCGAATATTGTCTCATCTTTAGTGAAGGCAACAGCGATCGGCTTGGGTGTTTCTTTGGCGGCAAGAGTTAGATTGAAAGGGAGTAGTATCAAAGATACTAAGGATAAGAGAGAGATGTTGAAGAGGTGTTTTAATATTCCCTCCATAGTTAGCACTGAAGAAATGGTAGGAGTGCCGGTAATGAAGGATTAAGTTCTAAATCTTCTGAGCACCAACTGTCCGACTCCACTTATTTGTAGAGCACCAGCCAGAAACCCAACCAGGGGCTGTTAGCGAAAAACACGTCAGGAGAAAAAGCAATAACAGTATCTATTTCTCGTACACCCAGCTCTCCACACCTGATAGCGTGGTATCCCAAGTCGTAGGAACACGTTCTATGCGGAGATTTTAACACCTTCAGCTGCCCCACACCCTCGGGATCAGACTATCACAGCCCCAAATGCGGGCTCAGAGACAACTTTTAGCTTTCTCCTCTGATACCGGTAGGTTTATTGGCGCTCGCCGCCAGTGTGATATATCGGTTGTGGTAGTGGTCCTAGTACCTTTGTTAGCTACCGTGCATTATCAATTGGAATTTTTGTAAAGCCTCTCCCCAGACAATGCTGTACTGTACTCGAGTGCAGACGTATGAAATACCCTATGCTAACTTAGATTATGAGTCTTCATCACCCCCAATCTACTACTGTATGTATGGAATGGTGGCCAGCGGAGATAAGTTACTGGTACAAGTGCTGTACCAGACAGTGCTGTTGTCTACCGGTGCCGTACCAGACGCCAATTGGTCGTTCAAAAATCCCAGATTCAGCCCCTCAGTTGAGGTAAAAAGAAAAAAACAGCCAAGAGCACTTGTGAACCCCGCAGAGGTAAGACAGAACACAAAGGCCAGAACATGGTGTGCGACCCACGATACTAGTACAGTACCGTACTTAGATACAGTAGTCGAGCGACGACCCTCCAACTCAGATGGCCTGGGCTTGAGGGCCCGGATCTTTGAAGTTTTCGGCGAGGCGACATCCCAGCAACCTCATGGGATTCGGCACAGCCCGATCCATTCCCAAGATTTCCCAAGTGCAAAGTGAACGAGCACAAAATAGAAGATGGCCACAAATGGCCGCAAATACCCTCTTGTGACCTCCCTTGCATCCGGAAACGGAGCCTCTTCAACCTTCTCTCCAATCGGTACTTGTGCCCTCTGGGCGCCATCGGTCAGGGCGAGTATCGTGCCAGCACTGCGCTACCCAGCATGAACGTGGATGACCGGACGACCAGATTAATAGGTATCAAAAGCTTTCCTCCACTTGAGGAATTTCCATCCCAAATCCGTTCTTTTATTTTTTGTCAGAGTAGTAACGGTCGGTCCTCCAGGATCCCGGAGTGTCCGATCGCCCAGGCCCATATCCAAGTATCATACCAACAATAGCCCAAAGAAAAGAGGCAGCACCCGAGTATTACTAGTACAATACTCGAGTACCTGTGTTCGAGCACCCCACCACAAAGAACCCGATAAAGCAACCAACCAGAACTATTGATCAACCCACATGCGGAACTCTCCGTAAGAATGTCTCACCCTGACTTTATCTCCATGATCACAAGTGCGAATACTGTAGGGCGCCGCACCCACCGAAGGGCTCCAACAGCCGAGCAGACTCTCCCGATCGAGTAAAGTTGGCTTCAGTGGCTTTAGAAACATTCCGTGCCGCAACTCCCAAGGCTTCTGTGCCCCGTCCCAGAAACCCACTCGAGCACACTACCGGCACTTCATTCAAACTTTTACGCATGAATACGGTAGTCATTCTGGTCCACTGGATTGAGCTTTCGTGGCTGTTGCCCTTGGCGTGCACAGAAATTTCCTCCTCCTTTTTTCACAATTCGATATATCGCTGATCGAGGGTAGGTCCATGAAGATATTCCAATCGCCAATGCAAAACTTGCACTAGGTTTTAAGGGAAATCCTGATACCTGCTGAATCTGGGCGGTATACCTGTTTCGGTACGGTATTTATGACAAAGGCATCGCCCGAAAAGGGCGAACGAGGCGCTGCTGCTGTACAAGTTACAGGCATAAAGAACCCGAACATGAGTGCCAAGTTTGGAGGGTAATACAGGGGTATGACATGGGCTTGAACAGGCATATGGGAGGGGGTATTCTCTTGGCTTTTGACGCCAGAATGGGGGTTGTTCGAATGATCTTTCCATTTAAAAAAATTAAAAAAAGTAGATATTTTTATAATCCAAAGTAGATGTAAAAATTATAAAAAAAAGAAGATTAGAAATTAGGAATTAAGATTAAGAATTAGAAATAAATATTTACAAATAAATATCTACAATTACTATCTCGTATGTCCTCCTTCTGCAGTAATAATAGCCTCAATTCTTCGAGGCATTGAATCAATAAGGGATAGAAGTACATCTTCAGAAATTCTTTGCCATTCTGCCTCAATGGCAGCCTTCATGCCTTCCATTCCAACTGGGTGTGGTGTCCTCTTATTGAGCATATCCTTAAAAAGATGCCAAACATTCTCTATTGGGTTGAGATCCGGAGAGCAAGGAGGCCAGTTGAGCTTTTGCATGCCCCAGCCCTGTTGAACTTCACGAGTAAATCGTGCACGATGGGCTGGGGCTCCATCTTCCATAATCCAAAGATCTTCTCTCCTGGCACTTCCAACCTCCTCCTCCCAGAATAGTCGAAGAGCTGGGATCAGGACATTGGTAACATAACTCTGTACAGTTATAATACCCCAATTGTCCCGATCCCAGAGGACTAGCGGAGTTTTTTTTCCTCCTAAAATTCCTCCCCAGATCATTATTGAATTCTTCAGGGTGAATTTTGGGACAAGGCAATCATCATAAAACTCCTTGCCAGGACGCCGGGTAACCCAAGTACGGTTTCAAAGTGCCAAAGAGCCAGATATAGTACTCATCCGTCCAGATCACCCGGTGCCAATCATTCAGTGTCCAGTCACGGTGGGCAAGAGCGAAGTCCAATCGTAGCTGGGGCTGCCGAGCATCAAGAAGGGGCTTTTGGCGGGCAACACGATGGACATATCCTTCCTTGGCAAAGGCTTTGCAAAGGGTTCTATCACATGCCTCAATGCCGCAGAGAGCTGCCACCTCTGTAAGAGGCATTCGTCGATGGGTAGCACTCTCTGTAGCTGTAGCTACAAGGCAGTGTCTTGTTGGGCTATCGAGTAGGAGGGGCCGGCCCTTGGTTTTTCGGGGGGTAGCTGGAGCATGACAGATATCATGTACAGTGCTAACAGATAGGTTTTGATCTTCGGCGATTCTCCGATAGGTCCAACCTGCAGAAAAGTGCAGTGCTTGAACTTGATAGCGGGTCTTATATGAGGCGTGTTTGTATGGCATTGGGCTGTAAAAACAATTAAAAACCTGTTAGTAACCAGCCATGATTGAATGTTTTTAACATACCTTTTTTTTTTTTTAATTTTGAACTTGATTTCACGATATTCAAATGATTGATCTGGAAGAAGTAGCACAATATCCAGGGAAAACAGCTTTATTGGCACTATCTGTTTACCTATTTACCCCTTTTACCTTGCTTTGTTACTATCATTTTAGGAAATGTTACACTATTTACAAGGATCCGTCCCCTCTCCCGGGCACCCCTTCCACCCCCCCCCCCCCATTTTACCCCCCTGTGTTCGGGTTCTTTATGCCTGTAACTTGTACGAATAATGCTAACCCTCTGGTCACGCATGAAGCTATGATACAAATCCGGTAAATAGGAATCACAGTCACTGTGATCAAAACCCGGTTCGTGGGCCTAGTAGCGCTATGGCGATGAACCTTATCCCAACCATTACGAGGCGTTGGTAGCTTGGTACAGTACTGGTGGGTGGGGATACCACGGAATACAATGAGTCAACTCAACCTGATTTGTCAAACCGGAGCCTGAAATCTTGATCCTCTTCGGGCACACGGAATGCACGGCTTGTGTTTTGATCACTTGCGTTGCGCCTAGTACCACAGCCTAGCTACCCAGGGACAATGTCCCCCACCCCTTCACCCCTCATCACTCGTCCCTCCACCCCGGGTCTCCCGACGGGATTACGGTGTGATCCCAATATCTCGCTCTCCATGCCAGGAGCCCGAGCTATGATACCCCCATTCCGACCAATATCGTTCAGCCTAGTTGGGCTGGTTCTGTCAGTGTGTACTCAAGTACGATACTATACCCAGACAACCAGCGATCCCCTTCCATATTCCAATACTCAACCCGACCATCGCCATAACCGCCTACCCGCTCAATACTCACGCAAGTAGTGAACCTCCCTCCTCCCGCAGCACGAGAAGACCAAGACCTGCACCTCCACAATACCTTAATTTGCAACAAAAACGGTAAGATGGACAGACCAGGAACCTTGAATTTCAGCTTACTTCCCCACACACCAGAGTAGAGCTCGATTCCTACTTAATGATCCCTGTTCTCTAAACGCCCAATACCATATCATCACTCGACGTCAAAATTACCTTCCGGCAACTTGTCTCACTCGAAGGCTGAAGCGCACGTTGCGTTTCCACCGATTCGGCTCTTGGTGTATTCGGATTAACAAGCGCAGTTTCAGGCGTTTTCCACCCGAGTCTGCTGTACTGACAATGCTTAAGGGAGGCCATTACGGTATTTGGCACGAGCCGAGCTGGCTTGGAAGTTCGGCTCGAGCCCCAGTAGGCACACGGTACAGTACACCGCGCATGGTATGCTAATCGCTGCAGGAGACGTGTCTGCGATGTTGGGAACTGACAAGGGTGTTTGAAACCACCGTACTCTGATCAGCCAATTTCGATATTCCAGGGAGCACGGGCCCAGGGAGGCTTTTTTTCAAAGAGTTCATCAGTCGACCTATCTAGCAACAAATAATAAGGAAACAGGAAAGAGCTAAATCAGATATGTATCATACGGTACACAGTGCTAAGATAAGAAATCGGTTGGCATGGTACGATAATCGAAAACCCATCAGTCTAACAAAACTATGGATTGGGGGAATCCAATGGATAACAACCACTCCGTGTACAGTACCATTATTGACGCATTCGACCCATACATTAATCCAGCGAGGAAGGGCAGCTATTGTAGCTGTCCAAACGTAATGGCTACCGTGCTGGGAGGTCCATCGTGGTTTCCAAATATCCTTAGTGATGGTTAATAGGAGATATAATAGCCTCCAAACTCCAAAAACAGGCTCCCGCTCTCAGAAGGCACATATCACATGTACAACCATCATATGAACATTTGCGCTCTAGATTTGTCTCCCTATACTCTCCTCGCACACATACCTCCCGGTACCACCGTCCTAGTAACTTCACCGTGCCCAATTCCTCTCCCTCCCACCTATAAATGAAGAAGCGAAAGAAAATGAAAAAGCGATATCGGGAAACAAAAGGGGAATAAGAAAAAATCATCCTACAAGAACGGAGAAAAGTAAACGTGCCCAAAACGCAGATGATGGATTAAAAAAAAAAACTCCTTTTTTCGCCAAGCAATCAAAAATAACAAGTAGTTGGAAAAAAGGTATAGAAGGAAATTTTGATTTGGTAGAAGGTGTAAGACGAAGGGATCAAATATAGAACCCCGGAGGGGAGAAACGATTCGAAGAGAGTAAAGGAGGGGAAAAAAAGACCCCGAAACCACATTTTCCCCCCAACTTTAGAAATTTAAACCTTTTCCAACAGATTTCCGGACGCCTGAGTACCCCGACACCTGTGTGCAACCGTGAAGATTCGTGATACATTATCGATAAGGCAAAACAAAAACGAGAAATAAACCAGAAGGATTTCTGGCAATTGTCTATCCAAGGGCGGGTAGTGTATCAGAACAATATGCAAACTCCAGACGGAGAGCTCCCGATTTTCTGTTGAGTGAGAGCAAAAACGGGTCTGGGAATTAACCAAGGCTGTGGAAATCGGAGCCCGAGATGTTCGATCATCTGGGGTTACCGAATGCAAACCCATCCCTGGTCTACCTTATCTGCTGGAACGGATCAAGGGCCACACTTATGCGGCCTTCGTTTTTGTTTTTAGCAAAACAGTTCCAGAATCTAAGAGTTTCGTCTCCGGCACCTGTGACGATTACCTGGCCATCCGGTGACATGGCCAGGTACAGCACACGATAAGTGTGACCTGTGAGACTGACAACTTGACTCATGCTAGGGTATTTCCAGACGACAATTTGATTTTCCGAGTACCCATGGGTACTAACAATCTCGTTGGAGTTTTTGCTCCAGGCAAGGTTACACACTTGGCTGCCAGTATCGATTTCGTTGATTGGCTGTCCGGTGAGAGTATTCCAGAATTTTATGCGTCGATCAGCGGTTCCACCGCCAGAAGCAAGCGTTCCATGTTGATGTGGCGACCACGCAATCGCTTTGACGGCGGCAGTATGTTCAGTAAATTTGTACAGTGGCTGCTCGTTTAGTTTGTCCCAAACAAAGAGTTTGTTGTCATTTCCACCGGACGCAAGTTGGCCATCCTCGCAGTTCCACTTCAAACCGCAAACTTCCTGCTTGTGCCCTGACAGTTTTGCAACATATTGAACTGGTGCTCGCACGTCCCGATGATATATTGTGCGATCCCTCGAACCGGATGTCAAAATGTGGTCGTTCCAAGCAAGAGCTCCTGGTCAAGCTGTCAATAATAATTCCAAACAACGTATAAAGACGAAACATACCAACTCGTGCAGTGTGCCCTGTCATCACGCGCAGGCGACGGCATTCTTTAGCATCCCAGATTTGGACATACCCTTTATTCGTCCCGATCGAAACGTGAGATCCCTGACAAAAACTATTAGAATTCTCTAAATACTGACGAGAAAAACCCGAATTACTTACTCTCTGGATCCAAGATACGCTAGTGACAGTATCATCTGCTCCCAAATCACACAACTTGGTCACCATGCCAGATGCTGAATTCCACATATAAACGCAGCTGCCCAGCCCAACTCCTAATATATTTGTGCTTCCCCAATCTACTAAATTCAGGTAAAAATCGTCGGCTAGTTCGGGCGCATCGAGTACCTTGTAGGGCACCTTGCTAACTGTTCTCGGTTGTTTTCGCGGCGATAACAGCATGCGTTGGCTATCGAACCTCACGGGAGATAGAGAATATATCTCAGACCTGGTATCAACCTTCGGGCCATGCCGAGTCTGAGGAGTTCGAGTTTTCGGTGACATGTATGTAAATAAGTTCTTCGAAGGAGTTGACGGAGCCTTCGTAGATGAACCATTACTTGTTGGGGGAGTGCGAGCTCGAGCCTCCCGAGTGGCCGAGTTACGAGTACTTAAAGACGCAGGGGTTGATTGGGGTATCTCATTGTGGAAAAGCTCCGATCGAAGAAGGGTCGAAAAGGTACGGTTCGCTTCTTCGGCTATAAATTCCGGAATAGTTAGGATGATTTGGGCACTTTTTCTTGCGAGGAAAGCTGGTAACCTACTTTTTTGAAAGTGAAGCTCACCATGGGGTGTCCTCTTCTGAGGTTTCTGAGGTGTTGAAGGCGATCCCTCGGCATGTAATAAACTGTAACTTGCCTGCAGATCAATGCCTTCACGATTTGGAATAAAACTGTATATCGCCACTTAGTTTTCCATCCGCTCAAACTCCCACATCATTTACCCAGAATATCGTCATCAAAGGAGAAATGCCATCATACCGGTCACCGTAGATTACTCGCTGCCGCTTCCTGCTCGGTGAAGGTGCCGGTGTCGCTACAGCATCGCTTAAAGCCGCTCTCAGGGCATCGGCATCGGGGCCAACTGTTTGTTTTGAAGCAGGTGATTCCGTCGGGGTCTTTGGTGGCTTCGAGGTGCTGTGTCGAACCCGATTCTCGAACTCGGAACCACCTCTCATGGTGGAATTGGGGGAGCTAGCGGGGCAGCTAGCTTAGGTGTTGTGGCGATGATAAGAGCGTGCCGAAAAAAAAAATATGGATCGCACCGGAGAAAAGATCTAGCGCCGGTATACAGTGGACTGACTTGGATCAATTGTCGGCGGAGACAAAGTCCTGAGTGTTGATGAGGGTGGTTGTGGAGGGGTGTGTGGTTGTCGTGCAAGTAGGGGTGATGATGAACAGGCGAGGAGGGCGATGGGGGCGCGGTTGCGAAAGTAAACAAAAACTGGGTAACCAACAATAAATGTGATCCAAAGGGGAAGTTAGCCCCCCTCTGGGTGATAGGAGTGCTGAGCAATACACCCTGCGTTGTCCTGGGAACCTGCTTTGTGTTCCCTTCTATTCACTAGTGAAAGCGGCAATCATGAACTGTGATACAGTAAACCTCCTCTTGAAATTTCCTGGAGGCTTGAATAAAAAGTAATTATAACGGTTGATTAAACACAAGTGAAGTGCAAATACATCAAGTCTATAACTAAAGAGAACACTACAGGTGCCTCCGCGCAATACTTCGCGATTTGCTCATCTATCTTCACATGGAGGAAGCGTGTAGGTGGGAATACTGGCGCGATTTGCTCAACAGTTCCTAAATTATTGATGTTGCCGCTTTAAGATACATGATATCTGATGACTCTGTAGGTAACTAGAGCAATAAATAGCTCACAGCAGCACAGTACTGATATTTCCTAGTTTCATGTTCTTAATTCAAGCACTCTCCCTGAGGTGGAATCCGAATTCGTCTTGATAGAACCCCGGGCTCTGAGGAAGAGTTGTGATGTTTCTGAAGAACACGGCAGAACTATAAGTGATAGTACCTGCTCTTATTCTATGGGCCTGATAAGTATTCCGATTTGCTTTTTGGCCTAATACTAGCGAATGAGAGAACGTTCAAACAAGTTTCATGATAATAATATTATGATGTTCCAAATAAACTCACTTAATCAAGCCTGCTGCCATATTATCTCCTTATCAGATCCTCAGGGTCCACAACTTGGATTAGATAAGTCACTGTGCCGGGACCACCTCGCGTGTGACCTCTCATGCGCAGTGGTTCGGATCCCCTCCTTTCTCCAGCCTTATTTGAGCCCTCCCTTCCCCGCGCCGACTTAGCTTAAAACACTTGCAAATTACAATCGAACCGACCGCTAGTATACCTTCTCAACGAACCATGGCTTCAGGCTCGAAGAAATACGCTCTCGATTTCCTATCTTTTGTCAATGCTTCACCAACTCGTGAGTGGGGTTCTAAGGTTCCTTTCCGGCTTATCCTAACTAACAAATCTAGCCTTCCATGCTGTCGAATCCGCCAAACAGCGGCTTTTGAATGCAGGATTTATTGAAATTAGGGTTGCCCCCCCCCCCACAAAAGCTATGATAGGTAGCTAACCATGTGGGCAGGAACGTGACTCTTGGGCAGAGGCAGTCAAAGCTGGGGGTCGATACCTTCTGACACGCAATGGATCCACTTTGATCGCCTTTGGTGTTGGGAAGAAGTGGAAGGTTTGCATGACATTTCTAGCTTGTACTTTTCGGGGGGGCTTCTGCAAAGTAGCTGAGTTTCTTGTGTTTGCTAACCTCGCCGAGACACTTAGCCCGGGAATGGAATGGCTCTGCTTGGAGCTCACACGGATTCCCCAGCCTTGCGTGTCAAGCCTATCTCAAAGAGATTTGCAGAGAAGGACTCTTTTATGCAGGTTGGCGTTGAGACTTATGGAGGTAAGAAGTGATCCCTTCAACCCCAGAGCCGAGATGTTTATTAACGGGCCTTATTTGTAGGCGGGTTATGGCATACTTGTGGGTACACCTTCCGCCGTGGCCAACTTGTCAAGCGCACAGCCAAACCTGCGTGACATCTCGCGCTAATAAAAGGCCGCAAATAAGGGTTCGATCGTGATCTCTCTATTGCTGGTCGTGCTATGGTCCGTCGACCCGATGGATCCATCATCTCAAAGCTCATCAAAATCAACAAACCAATTCTGAGGATACCCACTCTTGCAATTCATCTCGACCGCCAAGAGCCTTTCACTTTCAACAAGGAAACTCAGCTCTTTCCTATTACTGGTCTTGCCAGCGCCGCTCTCAACAAATCTTCATCTTCTTCAACCAAGAATCCCGAAGAGAAGGCCGGAGATGGAGAATTCAAACCTCTCATGGCCATGACCGAGCGCCACCACCCTGCTGTTGTGGGCCTCATTGCTAAAGAAGCTGGTGTTAGCGTAAATGATGTCCTTGACTTTGAGATGATTTTATACGATGCCCAGGATAGTTGCCTAGGCGGCATCAATGATGAATTTTTATTCTCCGCGCGTCTCGATAATCTCACCATGTCTTACTGTGCAACTGAGGGAATCATCGAATCTTTGGAACCAAAAGATGCTCTCGACGATGAATCAGGGATCCGATTGATCTGCTTATTCGATCACGAGGAGATCGGTTCAAAAACGGCCCAGGGAGCAGGCTCAAATCTTCTTCCTGCTATAATCCGTCGTCTCTCCGCCCTCCCCAGTGAATGCAACACTTCCAGCCCGACAGCCTATGAAGAAACTCTTGTCAAGTCAATGCTGTGGTCCTGCGATATGGCACACAGCGTCCATCCCAACTACTCAGCGAATTACGAATCCCATCACCGCCCTGAGATGAATAAGGGCCCTGTGGTCAAGATTAATGCAAATGCGCGCTACGCTACCAACTCTCCTGGTATTGTTCTCACCGAGGAGGTTGCTAGGGAAGCCGCTGTACCCCTCCAACTTTTCGTCGTTAGAAACGATAGTCCTTGCGGCAGCACGATTGGGCCGATGTTGAGCGCTGCTCTGGGCGCTAGAACCGTTGACATGGGAAACGCACAGCTGAGCATGCACTCCATTCGTGAAACAGGGTAAGCCTTTCATTCTACCACGATCATTAATAGGAATTAACATTCTTTAGCGGCGCTCACGACGTCGAATACGCCGTGAAATTATTCAAGAAATACTTTGAGCGATTCTCGAAGCTAGAGGAGACAATCATGGTAGATTCTACCACGTAAGGCCACAGACGAGCCCATCCAATGTTACTAGGCTACTTTTTCCCTAGAATACTAGAGTTAATAGCCAAAGATCTCTTTCAAAATCGGTGCTTCGAATTTTGGGGGATAAAACAGCAGATATTTAGCCAATGTGGTGCCCTGGCCTATGCGCATTAGGCTAAAGCTTGGTAAATGAGAAACTTGATGCCGGAATTAAGCCATTACTGCAGTTCATCATTTCCCTACCCCAGCTGAGGGTGTGGGCGAGGGTTGGGCCGTCAAGAGCCGCCTGCACTCGCCATCGAATAACATAGTATGCGATTCCCAACCTCTATATCGTACCTATAAACCTTCAGCTCTAGCCGAGATCTTAAAGGTCCCCTTGTCCTTCGTACTCCACAATTATCTTATCTAGTCATCCGCCATCCTGATTACCGGGGGGGCGTTGCCGATAGCCGAAGCAGCACATATCTTGACGTTACCATCTCAATCAGCCCCCGATATAAGATGGAAATCTGTCATGTATCATACCGGTGGTATGAACGTTCACAGATCCTCACTCATAAATGACGAGCATTTAAGATCACTTTATCTTAGTCATCAACACCGGGCAACAGAAAGTGCTAAACCCACTTCAGTGCAATGTGCCGTATCCACTACTGAAACCCGTAACCACCCCTGAAGAAACCCACAAACCCTGAATCTATTCGACAGGCGCTGATCGGATTAATATATCCTAGCTCGATCGTGCATCCGGGCTTATTTCGAAGGAAGAGATTACCATGCTGTTCCTCGAAGCACCGAACGAGATAATCCTCCAGGTCTCCAAATACCAGTCCCCGCCGGACCTATGCTCCCTACTAAGAGCAAACCGCCGTCTTGCGAATCTCCTAGGTGATGCTTTACTTGATTGTGCCTTACACTCTATATCCGAGACAGAGCGGTATGCCGAGGGTGCTCTCTATTCGGCTGTGATCCGTGGCGACGAGCGAGCAGCTAAACGGCTGATCGACGGCGGGATCTTCAAACGCTTGGACGAAAAAAAGTTGCTTACAAGGATCCTATCGGACCATGAACGGAGATGGGGTGAAAAAGCTCTCCCGACGCTTTTGGCGTGTGGTTGCGATCCGGAAACCCGGGATTCCGAGGGTAGGACTTTACTGGCTCTGGCGGCAACCAACGGGCTCTTTGAGGCGGTTGAATTGCTGATGGACAGGGATGATGTCGATGTCAACTCGACCGATACTGGGAATAACACCCCGCTACATATGGCAGTTGAGGTGGGTGATTATGAAGTGGTCCAGCTTCTGATGGATGATGAGAGGGTCGATGTTAACAGGCCCAACAACAATAACCGCACACCGCTTCACATAGCAGTCATGATGGGCCACGATGAGGTTGTGCGCCTGCTTCTCGAACACAGCGAGATAAATATCAACTCAAAGGACAAACTAGGTTGGACACCATTATCATATCCCGCTGACGCGATGAACCCGACGGGCTATCTAGCATCCGTACAGCTCCTACTGAACGACAAGAGAATCGACGTCAACCTCGGAAACAAGCACCGCCGTACACCCCTCCACACGGCGGTCACGATGGGTCACGAGGCTGTAGTGCGTCTCTTGCTGGGCCGGGATGATCTCGACGTCAATGTAAGGGATAGCATCGGCTGGACCCCACTATCCTGCGCCGCCGGCTCTGCGAACACTACTGGGCGTCCAACGGTTTTACAGCTACTCCTCAACGACCATAGGGTCGACATAAATACCAAGGACAAGCGCGGGGGCACACCACTCCACCTAGCAGTCAGGATGGGCCATGAAGCGGCGGTGCGGCTTCTGCTGGACTGCAGTGACATCAACATCAATGTGAAGGATATCTCCGACAAGACGCCGCTGGCTTACGCGTCGGGTGAATACGAAACGATCGTGCAGCTTCTGATGAACTATTTAAGGGTTTAGCTCAGCACTCATGCGGTCGGGGGATTGTTGATGAGTCACGGCTGATTAATGGTACGGCCGCCTCTACCTCTAGGAATGGTGGTTATTATGATCTCACGGGTTTGTTGACGAAAAAGGTATATATACTAGACCTTTTCTTGTTCCCATACAGAAGTGGTTGTAGGATTCTGTCATTGTCATCATCGATCATTGTCAGAGAGGGAGAGACGAATTAGCACGAGTAACCTTTAGGTGGCGTGCCCCGTGCCGTGGTGGAACTACGGAACATACAGCTGGAAATATGGAGCTATCCCATCTCAAACGAGTTCTGGGCCCTCGGGTCATTTGATGGAAGTCGGGTGTTGACATATGCACCGCTCTAGGTTAACACAATCTAGGAGGAGGAACTTTCTGCAACCCCGCTGGTTGGCGGTTTTTTTTTTCTGAGGATCAGTGAAATACTCTCTCTATCTCTTATAGTAGCACGATTTAAACCCTTAGTTGCCCTTGGAGTGTTTTTTTTGTTGCTTTTCTACCCTCGATTTCTCTACCCTCACTTTACTGTTTGACCAGGAGAAAATTGCAGATTTAAGAATCGTCTCTCTGTAATTCAGTGTCCTACCAATCTCGCTGCTATAGAATGCAACTACCTACTATCTTGTCACCCTCTCAGTCAGTTGCAGTTATAATAACAACTTTAGCCCCCGAGCACACGAGTTGCCGGGGCTATACCATCAACGCACTTGAAGAGCCTCAAGCAAAGGGATATCCGACGCCCGGTATCACACGAGCGGCCTCCCACCCGCGTATCTTGAAAAGCTTTCCTCCAAAAGGCCGACCAACAACAAGTCGAGACGCACCGGGCACTACTAACCCATTATCCTCCATTCTCACCCCTAACTTACTCATAAAGGATCACTCGCTATAACCCACCAATAGAGGCCGTTTACCATAATAACCAGACAGGGGCCAAAGCATACCAAAAGTGATGGTTTTCGAGCTATCATTACATAACCACCATGGGCGGAAACAGCATAGAAAAAAAAAAAGAAAAAAAGGGTAATTTGTTGTGATACCACGCATATGAAAAAGTGTGGGATTTTTTTTTTACCTTCCGTTCTCCCAGAGTTGTGAGGTGTGGAATGTTCATACTTGTACCCATGAGGTATCTGCCAAGACAGAGGTTTTTGTAATGGAAAAGGTACATTGTAACTAGCCTTACTGTACCCAATTCATGTGCCTGCGGCTCTCTACAAACAATAGAAAAAAACTCAAGATAAATATATATTATACTTCAGACATGTCAAGTTTCTTTAATTTTTTTTTCAAAGGCCGAGTTTCGAGATATCTGTGGAGTTATCGTGGACTCGAAAACCTGCAATTTTGGTGTTGTTTTGGCCTGTCTGGTTACTTTAGTTTATCTGCTCCTACTTTGTATCATATATACTAATATATATGGAGCACTACCCCTGACAACCAGCAGAAAAATAAAAACAGAAAAAAACAAAAAAACAGAAACATGGTTCAAGAGTCAGAGTAATTAAAGACAAATTTGAAACTAAACAACAGACATTTTGGAAAAAAGTAGCAAAGCAAATCATTGAATAATACAAATGGTATTATTGAATTTAAATTATATAGCACTTTCAACTAAGTAAAATAGTTGAATAAATACTTCAATTGAGTATGGATAATTTTGACAATTGATAGTTAACATCCAGAATACTAGAATTTACTTTTTCTGGTATTAGTACATATTTGTTCTTTACTTACACCAATATTGCACTTATACAGATATCAGAAGAGTATGGATTTTATCTCTTACTAGCAAATTGAATTTTGATATCCTTTCTATTGGTATGTACTCAATACTTTTTTCCTAGCAAGTAAAAGAAGGAGAATTATGGACTTCATACTTGATAGCTGAAATACTATACTTACTTAATATCTCAGTGAAAATGATAAATTACAATAATAAAGATTAGTTTTGATATTATTTTCTATCAATTATAAATTTGAATAACTTTTAAAAGTATTCAGCAATACAAACTTTTTTTCATCTAAAATCTGAATTTACAAGAAAGGTAGTAATCTTGAGACTTGAATCATCTTATTTTATATTATAAATACTAACTTCACTAATTTAGAAAAAAAAGAAGTAATGAGATACACATTTTTGAACATATCAGAAGATATAGTAATAGAAAGCTTATAACCTGAGGACTTCATACAACAATGCAGTAGATGCAAAAAAATAGTCAAACTAATGAACTTGAACTTTGCTCTCAAGCATAATGGATCTCAATATAAGACCTATGAGGTATGCAGAAATCGTGGTACTAATAATCAGTAGCAAAACTGTAACATGAATAATAAACTATTGAAAGCAGAAGGACAATCAGAAGATAAAAGTAGAATGAGAGTCAGAAAGAGAAAAGGGAGTAATTATGAAAAGTATTTGAATTTAGAATTACAGGAGAAGATAAATAAAGAGGTAAGTAAAAGAATTCTGAAAAATATGTGAAAATAGGTATAAATATAGTCAAAATAAACTAAGGATAAACTAGGTAACAGTGGAAAACTAAGAAGTAATGGTACAGAAATCAGAAGGAAATAGGCAGAGAGAAAAAAGAGCTCTACAAAGTTTAATACCAAGGACTCAGCATGGCAGATCAGCAAGAATACAACAGGAGCCAACCTTTATGCAGTGCCAATGTAGTTGCTACTTACAGACAAAAGATCTAGCAGAGTTTACTGAAAGATCACAAGTATCATGATGGCAGAGGTGTAATACTTGTCGTATACAAGAACAGTTAAGAGTTACACAGATACCTACTCTTATAATACTTTTACCACTCAGACATAAAATTTCTGCATTAATCTATGAGTATAGACATTGTAAAGCATTATACTTTCTAGAAGAAAAGTTGTCCAAGTCTTTCAGTCTATTGCTAGAGTTTGAAAGTTGTTGTGCAGGTGGAAAGGTGCAGCTACGAACATTTGATAATCTACCAGAAGTCATATGAAAGCTATTTACTGGGAATAACCAACAAAGTATCTAATTTTAAAATAACATCTACGCATATAATAATGCTTTATCTTTAATATTACTTGAGACCACAGAAGTACTATACAGAGTCAATGATGGTGGTGTTTACTCCTTTAAAATCAAGGGAGCACTATATTACAACCACGGTCTATTATTTCCTGCAATAGTAAAAGACCAAAGTTTGTACAGATTTATGTACATGATTCCAGGGATATAGATGCACAAGTTGCTAACCAACAAACTATATTCTCTAACAATTCTTTGGATAAGGAAATTCTAGCAGGTATAACTACTATATTTCAACAACAGAATTGGTTTGTCTAGACATATGAGACAGCGGTGAAAATCTTACAATCTAATCCAAATGAGAATGTTACTCTGCAATTAAAAATACTAGATGCAGGAAATAGGGATCCTAGGGTGTATAACCTACCAACCTCAGAGGAGATTGAAATTTTAATTGTTGAAAGTAGAGAGGAAGAGTTTGATAAGCGTGATATTCAAGTTATTATCAGAATATGGAGCAACAATCAGGACCACATAGGATTTACCAGAATTTCAGAATTAAATTCTTACTATTTGCCTCTATAGTATGTTCTACTTTTACCAAGAGGAGAGTTGGGCTGGCGAACAAATATACCACTAAGAGGAAATTTAGAAGCAGGACCAGTGGACCGGGAAGTCTATAGTATCAAACGCAAGAAACATTTAGTATATCAATAGTATATGATAAATCCAACAACTGCTAGAGCTGGTTTAAAGCATATCTCACTTGCAATATAGTATAGTTACCATTTATTTGAACATTCTGGAATTCAGTCCTTATTACACTATGCTGGTTGATTATTTCAAGAATGGGTTGTTGATGCAATAGCAGTAAATGAGCAAAATAATCTCCACTGGGTTAGGCAAAATCAGACAAAGTTAAGGGCACAGTCATTGTCTGGACTATGAGAAAGACTAGAAACTGGTAGTTTGGAAGAAAGTTTAGATTCAATTGAACATCATATAATACTTCCCTCCAGTATTGCAGGTTCATCACGTCAGATGATTGAGAATTACCATGATGCAATAGCTATTGTACGCCACTTCAAAAAACCAGACCTTTTTATTACAATGACCTGTAATCTACAATGGTTAAAAATTCAGGAAAACTTGAAGAGGGGTCAGATACCTTCAGACTGTCCTGATTTAATATCCTGAGTATTTGAACTAAAATTCAAAGAATGGATGCATGATATTAAAAAGAACAAGGTATTTGGCAATATTCTAGCATTTATGTAGATAATTAAATATCAAAAGAGAGGGTTGCTACATACTTATCTACTTATTATATTGGAGAAGCAGGTTACAACTGTAGAAGAAGTAGATTAAATTGTAAGAGTTAAGTTTTAATGTAGAAGTACAGATGAGGAGTTGTGGGCAACTATAGCAAGCTCTATGGTTCATGGACCCTGTAGTTCAGACTTTCCCTTAGCAGGATGTATGCATAGTAGCTGTGATACAGTAGGAAAATGCTCCAAGAATTTTTCCAAGGAGTTTAGAGAAGAGATAACAGTTGATAATTTTGGCTATCCACAATATAAATGACAACAAAATAGTTTTTCTAATTCTGTTAATAGCTCTTAATCCTCTACACCCTGCTTTGTAAAGTGAATCTGGATGGCTAATAGTAGTTATACCAGCTTATTATATAACATATGTACTACCTTACAAGACCATATAAGCTAATAAATTGCTTGCTACTAGATATGTTTTTGATGGGAAAGAAAGAAAATAGAAACCTTAAAAACAAGACTCTGTTGTTGGATGAATCTATTTTGTTGGGCCAAAGGCAGGAGAATTGTTTTATCTACAAATGCTTCTCTATCACTGTTCAGAAGCAATATCCTTCCAGGATTTAAGAACTGTTAATGAAGAAAGAAATCCTAGAGCTACATTTCGTAAGGCCTGTATGGGACTTGGACTACTAGAGAATGATAAGGAGTAGGATGCCTGTCTTCTGGAAGCAACTGCTATTCAAACAGGAAGGCAGCTTCAACTATTATTTGTTATTATACTTCTGGAGTCAAATCTATCAGATCCAGTTAAGCTCTAGAGTACATATCAGGATTTCCTCTCTAATGACTGCCAATATATTTTAATACATCAGTTAGATATTCAAAGTCCAACACAGGCAGAGATACATAGTCTTTGTTTATATTATATTGAAGAGGCACTCCATGATAGTGGTAAAACCTTAAATGACTTTGGACTTCCACTTCCTTTACTCCATTTAAATTACAATCAAGCAAGTAGTAGTAGTGAAAACAAACTACTTAATGATCAACTCAGCTGGAATCAGGATGAATTACTACCCGAGACTGAAGATTTAGAACCAAAACTGAATACAGCACAATGGAGTTCCTATGAAAAAGTCTTAAGATCAGTCTTCAAACAATAGCCATAGATATTTTTTCTAGATAGTCCTGGAGGAACTGGAAAAACCTTTCTAGAAAATCTACTTCTAGCCAAAATACGTAGTACTGGAAAAATTGCCTTGGCAGTAGCATTAAGTGGAATTGCTGCTATTTTGCTTAATGAAGGACAAACTGCTCATTCTACCTTCAAAATCCCCTTAGTTTTAGACAATAAAAGTATATGCTCTATCAATTATAGTTCCACAGCAGCAAAAGTATTCTCTAAGACAGACCTCATAATCTAGGATGAAGCAACAATGCAGCACAAGAATGCATTTGATGCTGTATCATGCATGCTATCTGATATTCGTAAAGATACACGACTTTTTAGTAGTATTACAATACTATTTCGTGAAGACTTTAGGCAATGTTTACCTGTTGTACCAGGAGGTTCAAGGTCTCCAATTGTCAATTCTACTCTCAAAAGATCTCAGATATAGTTCAATATACATCTTCTGCAATTAGATCAAAATGTTAGACTTCTTCATCCAAATCTTACATCTGAATTAAGAGAAAATCAGCAAGGGTTTACATCCTGGCTTCTGAAAGTTGGTACAGATACAACAGATACTATCTGCAATACAGGAGGTAAAAGACAACTTAAGTTGAAGCCAAAAATAATACTTGCAGTTAATTCTTTTGAAAGTCTAATAGTAGAGATCTATCCTTTGATGGTTGCTAATACATGGCCTATGGATCAAGCAATGATTGAGTTTTTTACTGAACATGCTATCTTAGTACCATGGAATGCAGAAGTTGATTCAATAAATATGGCTATATTAATTAGTCAAGCTAATTCCAACACCCTTCAGATATATCTAAGTGCTGATAGTATTTCTGATGAGGATTAGAC